TTTTTTTTTTTTTTTTTGCAAATCTCTCAAGTTCGTCGGCCAAGTGCACGATTGACGTTCCAGTTCTTGAAAGATTGATCAAGTCGAAAGTCTTGAAAGTGGAGAATCTTGAAACTCTTAAGAAATTAATTGGTTTAAGAAGCTTGAAAAATTCGCGAAAGATTAAGTCGCTTATTGTCGTAAGAGATAAATTTTCTCGAAATCTCCTGTTATTATTATTAATATTTTATTATTCATCAGTGCATATACGTATAGATAAAATTTTTACCACATTTTCTATTCCTCGTAAGATTCTCTTATTCAAATTTTTTTCTTATCGATCCCAACGAATGGAATAAAATCCTCAAATGTCCTTGTAATCATTTCTCGCGAAATCCTCACTCCCTCTCACTATCCCAATACAAAGTGAATCCTGTTGCACGTGCGCATGATAATCCCTCAGCGTATCAGAAAGGAAAAGATCGGCTGGCAACCTCGAGGCTCAGAGACACGCACCGACAAAATTGCCAGACACAAAGGGCTACTACGGGATGTTTCCTACATAGTGGATCTTCCTCTGTTTACAGGGAACGAAACTATGGATTATTATGGAGTACTTGGGTGGCGGCTCGGCCCTGGACTTGATGAAGGCCGGTAACTTCGAGGAAATGCATATCGCAGTGATATTGCGCGAGGTGCTCAAAGGGCTGGATTATCTTCACAGCGAACGGAAGCTTCATCGCGATATTAAAGGTAGGTTTACCAACCAAGGGGGGAAAAAAGAAGAAAGAAAAGAGACACACGCGCACAAAACATACTGGAAGGAGAAAATTAATCTGTTTAAAAATTAATTCCCACGTGCATCAACCGTGAAACAGCAGGCTAAAGTCTCTTTCGTCTCTCTGAATGAATGCTGATTTTGTTCGCGAATGAATTGTTCGAGTTTTATGACTTTGATCCTTCGACGACTTACGAGAAGAAGAAAAATTGAATTTTATCGATTGAAATTTGCTAGTCAAGAGTTGTCGAATAAATGTGAAATAAAATCTACAAAAAGTCTGGCGTGTAATAAGTGGAATAAAATCGTAAACGTGGACGTATTTGTACATATTTGGTAGCACAGTGATTTTACGAAATTCTTGCAGAAAATTTTTTCGACATACCTAAAAAATATAGTAGAGACCTTAATTGCTATCTCGGAATTTTCAAGTGTCGTTCGAAAGTCTAGAATAATGAAGAAAAATTCATATTTTTTGAGGAGATTAAATTATAAAGGATAAATTGTGAAACAGATATTAAATAAGATTTTGTTGGAAAATTGTTCTTCGTACTAAATGTTACAGAAAACACTGTGCTTATTCTTTGATATCGTGTTGCTTATAATATATAACTCATGCAAATTACATTACAATTTCATGAAATGATCCTATAAATATTACTTTTTAAAAAAAAATTATTTCAGTATATCTAACTGTATAACTATCGTCGTTTCTCTTTCAGCTGCAAACGTCTTACTGAGCGAAATGGGCGACGTAAAGTTGGCCGATTTCGGCGTTGCTGGACAATTGACCAACACGACCAGCAAACGAAACACTTTCGTGGGGACGCCGTTCTGGATGGCACCGGAAGTCATCAAGCAGGCCTCCTACGATTCGAAGGTAATCGCACGGAACCGCAGAAAACCATAATATTCTCGGGATTCCCGGCGTTATTTCGTCATGTCGGCTGTTTCTCCTGCTCGAGGCCATTGCTCGCCAGGTTACAGTCCGCTCACGTATCCCGGGAGATTTAATTTTATTACCTGCCGCCGACTTTCCGACCCTACGTTCAACATGGTTACCTTGTTTACCTCTTTGCGGCCTCTCTGCGGAAACTTTAATCTACCTGCGCTTTATCCGCACGGAGAAAAATCGTAGCTGATTCTTCGCAGTTGATCAAATTAATTGAAGAGAAGATCTTTGAATCAATGTTTTCTTTTGTTTAATCGTGTAAAAGGACAGCTTTAATTATTTGAATCAACTTGCTTGTTTTTCGATTCGATGTCAATGTGATTTCTTATCACTGTGTCTCTCGACAAGTCTTGTAAATGTAATTATCAATGTAAAATGTACTCGGTAGAAGAAAACTAGATCTAAAGCTTTCAATATAATTTATATAGTTCGTGGGCCTTCTAGGAGGATGAACACAAGTGTAGAGTATTTTTTTATTTGAAAATTGAAGCAACGTTTGGAATAGATATCCCCGAAAGACGTTGAGTTCTCGAGAGAGTTGAACATTCCTGAAAGAACGGTCGTAGAACGGTCACGTTGCCATTATCGCGCTGATTAACACGTAGACGAGTGTTGTTAACGTAGGAGCGCGTTGTTTCCGCAGGCTGACATTTGGTCGCTGGGCATCACGGCGATCGAATTGGCCAAGGGAGAACCACCGAACAGCGAGCTGCATCCTATGAGGGTCCTATTCCTCATACCGAAGAACAATCCGCCCCAATTAACCGGAAATTACACGAAGCAATTCAAGGAATTCGTCGAGGCCTGTCTCAACAAGGACCCGGAAAACGTGAGTTGATTTCCATCCGGTGCGACAGAAGCTCTCGCGTAACGCTGTACTAATTCTCGCTGTACGAGCACGTACTCCGGCAAAGAATCTTCGTTAGAACTGAAACTGTCGAGAGTGCCTTGCGTCTCTTAAAGTAGATTCAGCCGTCAGTAGTCAGACAGGCATAGTCGGATAGTCTGCGTGTTTCGTCTAATTACACTTTGCCATTTCATTCGTGAATTCAGAGGCCAACGGCGAAAGAGCTGCTAAAGTTCCAGTTCATCAGGAAGGCGAAGAAAAACTCGTACCTGATCGACCTCATAGACAGATACAAAAAGTGGAAGTCGCAGCGCAGCGAGGAATCCGAAACCGAGAGCGAAAATTCAGACTCGTGAGTCTCCGGTTTTTACACCGGTTGCATATTCATGAATGTTTATGCAAATCGCGCAACACCTGACGTTGAGAATTTTATATATGCATGTTATGTCCTGGAGACAAATATTTGCTGTCCTTGATCGACATGGAGAAAAATGTACAAGATGTTATTTCATTTTGTATAATTTAAAAATACAAAACAAAGATTTCTAGGCAAAGAACAACGATATTCTTTTTATTCTGTTATTAAAATTTTTTACGAGAAGAATTTTGTTCATACGATTCAAATTGACATAGAGGTCATCGGAAACTCTTCTATAAATTCTTTATAAACATTCATGATCCATTCGTGACGCTATTCTTGTGAACGACACGTGTTCGAAACTACATAGATTTGATCGTTTCCAGGGAGGAGTCGAAGCAGGATAGCGATATGGACGAGCCATGGATAATGACCGTGAAAGGTCCACACGGGGTTAAAGGTTCCGTGGTGCCTATGCTATCGCTCGACGAGCAGACAGCCTCGTTGACCCTCACACACACACCGAATCACAGATCCACGAATCACAATCAACAAACGAAGCCACACGCGAATGGTGCCTCGAGATCTCCACCGAAAGATTCCACGTTGAATCATTACAGGAGCGAGTCGAGGGACTCTGTGCGCGATGGCCAAACGAAACACACGCCGGTGAGTGTTCTCTATTTCGGACAGCTTCGATGCACATCAATCTTCAGAGGGCCGATATTTTTTCCGTAAAAAAATACTGGCTTTCTTTTGTGAAAATTCACGTGTACACCTCCGCTGAAAAATTTGAAGCATGTTAAAATTTTAAAAAGGAACAATGAGACTTCTTCGTAATATTATTTGCTCGTAGCACTGAAATTTTCAATTAATCACATTAAAAAAAAGAAAATCAAGTTTGTTGTTGCTCGCAGCAATGTACATATGTTCTTTGGAAAAATATTATTTTCCTTTACTTCTACTGTGTTAAATCAATACGATATTTTAAATTATATTATATTCAATTCGTACATAACTTGTATACGAAATTTGAAGATTTCTACAGGGCTTCAAAGGTTAAAAAAAACGACGAAGAGAGGAATACCTCATAATTCAGCCACGGCTGAGAGAAAAATACAATCTCCCCGTCGTCTGACGCCGGATAAAGTCCCACCCTCGAGTGACGGCTGTTTTTTTAATATCGCTGGAATTTAATCGTGTCTTTTTCCAGTCCCGACCGCACGAGGCTGCGCCACCGCCGCCCGTGGACACGCGAGAGAAACGAGAGGACCGAGATTACCGGGACTTTAATCGGGATTCCTCGTTGAGGGAGTTGAAGGAGATGCGTGATAGCAGAGACAGCAGGGACAGGGAACGTGATAGAGAAGGAAGAGAAAGGGAGAGGGACAGGGACAGGGACAGGGATAGGGATAGGGACAGAGACAGGGAAAGAGAGTTCAATGCGAAGGAAAAGAGGAACAGTAAACCGGATGTACCTGTCGTACCTATGGTGGACCATAGGCCCGGTGAAGATAAACAGAGGCCAAGGAGCTCGCAGGAACTCAAACATCCGCGGAGCGCGGTTCTTTCCGGTGTTGTTTTACCTCTCCTTTCCGAGGTAAATGTTCCTTTCTTTTTCTCGTAGGAGAGCATCGAATGTTTTTCTATTGTGATATGTACAAGTTGAGAATAAGAAAGAGAAACAAGGAAAAGTGTAGCTTTTAAAAAAAGAAAGATTATCCTGAATTTGTCCAGAAATTGATTTAGTTTTCACAATTTGTTTCCACAAGAAATTATCCGTTTCATGTTTCCATTTTCTTTGATGTTAAAATGTTCAAAAAAAAAAAGGAAAGAAAAATGTGTAAAAATCAGTCACAGTTTATACGTCTCAAAAACTTATAGAGTTGAGTTTTACCTCTTGTTCTCCTCTTGTGAAAGAGAATTTACACAGAATCGACACGCTGAAGAGATGGAAAAATTGACTCTTTGTTCTACCTACGTTTGTATTGTAACGCAGCTTCAACGGAAGCATCAATATTCGGCAAGAGACAATAATGGCGAGGGCGGAAGCGGCATTGGCAAGAACGGTGGCGCGATAGAGGAACTACGCAGTGCATTCGAGACAGCGGAACGCACTTCGCCAGGAATGACAGAGGCTCTTATCAAGGAACTCATTAAGTCTTTACTTCCTGCCAATCACTCGGAGGGTTGTTTGTATATGCTGATGGAAAAAGTAGTCCTTAGGTGACCATTTAAACTTTCTCAATCTGCTTTTTCATTTGCAAATCACTTTATTCCTCTTCGAGGATTTTTGTCGCGTTAGGAGAACCATTACTGTACTGTTTTAGTATTCCAATTTGTTAACCGAAATCGTACTTTAATCAAGAATTAATCTTGAAAGTTCTGTTAAGAATTTGACCATTTCACTTAATAGAATTGCAAACTTCCAGATATATTTTCAGATTGATTTCAAATTTTACTAATACAATCATAAAGCGAGTTTGTCAATTACATCTTGTACAATAATATTTCCAGTGTTCAAATACTTTTCTAAGTCATTGTACGTTCAAAAAAATTAAGAATTTTAAAAATTTCTCGGTTAACAGGTTAACAATCGTTACATTCATCTTTTTAGCATCAATCATTCGTCAGAATATGAAATGTAATTCTTCTTTTTTTTTCAGGGATACGTAGGGACGCGAGAGGGCGAAGGTTCGCAAGAGATTGTGGTCCGAAAACATCCTGACGTTGTAATGATTCGTTATTTCTCGTTTATCAGAGTTATTATTCTGTATGATGCCGGAACGTTATTAACGATCGCCGGATCCGAACGTGAGAGCAGAGAGAGGGAGAGAGAAAGAATAGAAGAACGTCGCTGCAACGATCCGGGCATTTTTTTTCCCCCTCCTACGGTCTGCAAAGACTAGGCTCAACAGAAAAAGAGCTCGTCAAATTGTAACTTTAATCCGATTTATCCCATCTTCATTGTCCAATTCAACGCGAAGTGCTCGTTAGATAGAGAGAAAAT